GTGCTCTTTATGTTACTAGGCAACCACTGTAATAATGGTCTTAGTCAGGGGTGTCCAAACTCTGTCCTGGAGGGCCGGTGTCCTGCAGAGTTGTTGCTGCTGCCTAGATAAGCAAGTTCTAGACATTGGAGAATTGGCACTCGCATGTTTTAGAGATGACGTGTCTACATGAAGACATCTTGAGCTCACACTTGACCTTTGACCAATATTTTGAAGGGGTGACTCTATATACTCAGGTGTACAGGTGACTATATACTCAGGTGTACAGGTGACTCTATATACTACTCAGGTGTACAGGTGACTCTATATACTCAGATGTACGGGTGACTCTATATACTCAGGTGTACAGGTGACTATATATACTCAGGTGTACAGGTGGCTCTATATACTCAGGTGTACGGGTGACTCTATATACTCAGGTGTACAGGTGGCTCTATATACTCAGGTGTACAGGTGACTCTATATACTCAGGGTGTACAGGTGACTCTATATACTCAGGTGTACAGGTGACTCTATATACTCAGATGTACAGGTGACTCTATATACTCAGATTTACAGGTGACTCTATATACTCAGGTGTACAGGTGACTCTATATACTCAGGTGTACAGGTGACTCTATATACTCAGATGTACAGGTGACTCTATATACTCAGGTGTACAGGTGACTCTATATACTCAGATGTACGGGTGACTCTATATACTCGGGTGTACGGGTGACTCTATATACTCGGGTGTACGGGTGACTCTATATACTCAGGTGTACAGGTGACTCTATATACTCGGGTGTACAGGTGACTATATATACTCAGGTGTACGGGTGACACTATATACTCAGGTGTACAGGTGACTATACATACTCAGGTGTACGGGTGACTCTATATACTCAGGTGTACAGGTGACTATATATACTCAGGTGTACAGGTGACTCTATATACTCGGGTTTACAGGTGACTCTATATACTCGGGTGTACAGGTGACTCTATATACTCAGATGTACAGGTGACTCTATATACTCAGATGTACAGGTGACTCTATATACTCAGATGTACAGGTGACTCTATATACTCAGATGTACAGGTGACTCTATATACTCAGATTTACAGGTGACTCTATATACTCAGGTGTACAGGTGACTCTATATACTCAGGTGTACAGGTGACTCTATATACTCAGATGTACGGGTGACTCTATATACTCGGGTGTACGGGTGACTCTATATACTCGGGTGTACGGGTGACTCTATATACTCAGGTGTACAGGTGACTCTATATACTCGGGTGTACAGGTGACTATATATACTCAGGTGTACGGGTGACACTATATACTCGGGTGTACAGGTGACTCTATATACTCAGGTGTACGGGTGACACTATATACTCAGGTGTACAGGTGACTATACATACTCAGGTGTACGGGTGACTCTATATACTCGGGTGTACAGGTGACTCTATATACTCAGGTGTACAGGTGACTCTATATACTCGGGTTTACAGGTGACTCTATATACTCGGGTGTACAGGTGACTCTATATACTCGGGTGTACAGGTGACTATATATACTCAGGTGTACGGGTGACTCTACATACTCGGGTGTACAGGTGACTCTATATACTCAGGTGTACGGGTGACTCTATATACTCAGGTGTACGGGTGACTCTATATACTCAGGTGTACGGGTGACTCTATATACTCAGGTGTACGGGTGACTCTATATACTCAGGTGTACGGGTGACTATATATACTCGGGTGTACAGGTGACTCTATATACTCAGGTGTACGGGTGACTCTATATACTCAGGTGTACAGGTGACTCTATATACTCAGGTGTTCAGGTGACTCTATATATACTCAGGTGTACAGGTGACTCTATATACTCAGGTGTACAGGTGACTCTATATACTCAGGTGTACGGGTGACTCTATATACTCAGGTGTACAGGTGACTCTATATACTCAGGTGTACGGGTGACTCTATATACTCAGGTGTACAGGTGACTCTATATACTCAGGTGTACAGGTGACTCTATATACTCAGGTGTACAGGTGACTCTATATACTCAGGTGTACGGGTGACTCTATATACTCAGGTGTACAGGTGACTATATATACTCAGGTGTACAGGTGACTATATATACTCAGGTGTACGGGTGACTATATACTCGGGTGTACAGGTGACTCTATATACTCAGGTGTTCAGGTGTGCACTCACTCTGCGGGCAGCTCTTGGAGGCGGAGGAGTAGGCGTGCTCCGCACAGAAGGAGGGTGTGGTGGGCCACATGTGACTGACCACCTCCTCAGACTTCACTGGGATCTCCTCATCACAGAATAGGTACGGCTTCACCTCGCCTGCGTCCTGACACACGTACAAACACGCGCACACACACACACACACACACACACACACTCTCTTCAGTACTTTAAACGCATAAAGGAGGAGGCCAGTGCTCTGCTAGAGGACAGGTGTGTGTGTGTGTGTATACCTTGCTGTCATAACCGTACGTCTCTCGAATGTCCTCGTCTGAGTCCGTCTCCTCATCATCATAGTCCAGCGAGGGCCGAGGAGACGCTGCTCTGCTGAAGCCCGACTGCTGGAACGTCTGGATGTGGCCCTGAATCAGTACACACTTGACACGGTTAGCCTCAACACACACTGTTGGCCTGAGCACACACTAGACACGGTTCTATTCCAGCTCTTATAAAGAGATAGACATGTG